GGGGACTATAAAGGCAAGCATCGTGTCGAGCAAATGACGAAAATTTAAACGAAAGACCATGAATTTTGGAGAGAATTAAACTGTAATAAAACTAATACCCTTACCTGCGTAGGATTAACACGAATTCTGCATGAGAGATCGAACAAGAATTCAGTCCATATTTGTCATAAAAACCGTGACAAAACTCACAAACCCTTTAAAGTCCGCCATTTGCAATCGCACGGAACGATTTCCGCACATGCGCAGACAAAATGCACCTATGTTTACGCATATTACATGCATATTACGAGGTTACATGAATTGGTTCATGATGCAATGGACCTATCTCAAACCCATGAAGTTAGATAGATATTTGGCATCAGCTTTTATCTACAAAGGCTGAATGTTTTGCGGAAAAAGATTATGAGAAGGTGTACGGTGATACTTTTGAGAGGCTAAGTTTGGTTGATGATGATGCATGATGGGAACAAATTCCCATAAAGTCACTACTATACAGGAGGTTTTTTCTCATGTCAGTGTTGTGCACAAGAACGAGGTTACTACGCATATTACATATTACATATTATTACTACGCATATCACATGCATATTACGAGGTTACATGAATTGGTTCATGATGCAATGGACCTATCTCAAACCCATGAAGTTAGATCGATATTTGGCATCAGCTTTTATCTACAAAGGCTGAATGTTTTGCGGAAAAAGATTATGAGAAGGTTTATGGTGATACTTTTGAGAGGCTAAGTTTGGTTGATGATGATGCATAATGGGAGCAAGTTCCCTTAAAGTCACCCCAGTAATTTTACATTTTCCCCAAGTACATATTTTTCGTGTGACTTTTTTAATACTTTTACTCAGGTTCTTTTAAAGCTCATACTGTAAGTTCTACTTTTACTTGAGTACAAAATAACGAAATTATGTGTAATTTAGTCACCACTGATCTGCCCCAGGGTAAAATAATTCACAATTTTTAATCGTACCTGTCTACCTGACTGGTTACCTGAGCTGGTACAATTATTGTGTTTTGGAATGAATAAAAAAACTTTTCATACAAACTTCAATCTGGTATTCCCAACGGCAAATTTATCAATAACTTTCTGAACATCTGGGACAATTTCAGGGAGAATTTTCATCAAAGCAAGCCCATTTAAACGGTCATCCACCATGGTGCTACGCTTGTTATCTTTAAGCATCCTAAGGGAAGAAATCGAGCGTTCACACTCACATGAAGTAATTGGGAGAGTGCCTAAAATACGAAGAATGACTTTGATATTTTCAAAGCCATCAAAACAAACTGATTTTAAAGTTGAAACAATATTGGAAGGGATAGCTCCATTATAGGTCTGCCAGTAGGTAACCCACAATGATAGTTCAGCATCTAATGCCAATGGGGTAGGCAAATCATCGTGATAAAATAAAGACACGTGCTTAAAATCGTCTTTCCAATCAATTCCCCTAGCAATTAAAGACAGCATTTTAGATGGCACAATACTTAATCCCTTATACACATTAACACTATCAAGATCAAACCGTGCAGTCAGTGAGGAATTCAAGTGATCAACAAGAGGGATAGTGATGATTTTCTTGTAGTAATCTGAAATTGAGTTATGGGGTGTATTTGCACGAGCAGTCTGCTTTTCAGTTGTTCGAGGTTTCCACTCACTAACGTCAACTTTCTCAGCCAAGTCTAAAGCTTCTTCGTAGCAAGAATTGTGAAAGTCATCAATAGTATTTCGCATCAAAGTAATGTGGTCTTTTAGGCTGTTAATAAGATGAATGCCATCCATAACATCATTTGTCTTCCCTTGTAGTAACTGTGTCACAGGAAGAGTCAAATCAAGTACACGCCTGGTTATGACAAGAGTAACAATAAAATCAAATCTTGAAATAAGAGTTAGATAAGTTAAGGCATCACGTTTAATGTTTTTATTATACTCGTCTGTTGTACCATTCCTTATTTCCTCTAGCAAACGAAACAACGGTACAAAAAGCTCATTGAATGTATTCAAACCTTCAATACGTTCCACCCATCTAGTTCTACAGACATCAACCAATTTGGTCTTTTTTGTATCCAGATTAGAGCTTTTAACACTCTCTTCAAAAGGAATACTACGAGTCTGTGAAATCTTAATAAAATTGGATATATCTTTCACATGTTTTAGTATTTCAGTTATCTCTGTAATGGATAAAGAATCACAAATAGATAAATTAAGCCTGTGGCTATAGCAATGAGTATACAGAGCTTTTGGATTAAGTTTTAGAATATGAGCTGACAAACCATTAATGTGACCTGCTACAGATCCTGCTCCATCATAGCCCTGCCCTCTACAATCAGAAATTGATAAGGTTAGTTCATGCAAATAGTCTAGAATCAGTTTAGACAGTTGTGCCCCACTTAATCCCCACTTACAATGGAGAAAAGCAATAAATTCTTCTCTAATGTCCATTTTAGAGTCAACAAAACGTAAAACTAAAGACATTTGCTCCCTGTGTGATGAATCGGATGCCTCATCAGCAAGAATAGAATAAAACTTACTTTTTTTAACATCATTTATTATGTGCTCGCTAATAATCTGACCACAGCATTTAATAATTTTATTTTGACTGGTTTTGGAGATATAAGTTTGATTCTTCCCGCAAGTTTTCAAATGTTCCTCCAGAACTTTATCCCCACGACGAACTCCATAGTTTAAAATATCAACAAAGTTACCTACTTGCCCAGTAGAGTAGCCACCAATCTCTTGGTGGTACTGAGAGTCATCACGATGCCCCCTCAAAGATATACCACCACGAGCACATAGAATAACAGTGTCAACAATAGGCGCCAATTTTTGTCTGTTACTTGCTACTTCTTTTCGAAGATTGGCATCTAAAATCAAATTAATTGGCTGGGCTGCTCCAGAAATTTGACAGAGTAATGCTTGGAGAATAGGAAAGGTAGAAGCATGAAATCCCATTTCTGCCCCAGTTCCATGGCCTGCATGTTTTTTGAATGTAAATACTGCATTATTCCATTTTACAAGAGGCTCAAAAAACAGCTTACAAATCTTCCCAGCCTTGCTAGGAAATCTATGACCAAATAAAACACAGGATAAACAATAAGCACCATTTGCAGAAGGAGAATAACAAAGCCATTTAAACATATCCAACCACTCATACCTAAAAGCTCTACCATCAGTCTTGGGGAATGCATAATTTTTATCTGGTTTAAAAACATGTTGAATTACATTATTAATTTCAGAATCAGACATACCTTTAACCATGTCCCGATAGTGTGCAATATCAAATTTGTTCATAGAACTGGGTTTACATGTATCTAAATTAGACTTAGTACCTGTAGTGTTAACTGTAGAAGATGGATTAGCATCCCTTACGAAAATTTCCTATAGGAATTTTTTCTACAGGAATTCCTATAGGAATTTTTCCTATAGGAATTCCTATAGGAAAAATTCCTATAGGAATTTTTTCTACAGGAATTCCTATAAGAATTTAATAGGAAGAATTCCTATAAGAATTCTCAAGTCTAG